ATATCTAGAGTGAATTTGGAATAACTCCAAACATTCCCCACCGTCTCCTCCGACGGCTCCAAGCTCGCCTTTGTTGACAACGAGTTCAAGGCCGTGTGGGTCGCCGACGGACGACGAGGATTGCGTGTCGTCTGGGAGGTATATATAGTCCGCTGGCTGCAATAATCCATGGGACATTCTCATCAGAGTGTTAATTTCAATTGATTTCAGTATGCGATTGTATGGGTAATTCGCAGTGGAGATGGTCGAACAGCGTCTTCTCGACGCCGTGGAACCACGACTCGGACAACGACGTGCTGTACGTCTGCGTCGGCCCGGCGTTCAGCGCCGACAGCCGGCTGGAGATCCACGCCATCTTCGACGCGTCAGGAGACGATCCGCAAGTACAGGAAGCTCACCGCTGGAGGCTTCAACAACGCCTTCCCGAGCAGCAACCCGGCGGGGACCAAGATCGTGTTCAGGTCGACCAAGAACGCGCCGCCGGGAGGTTTCAGTCAAAAGAACCTGTACATCATGGAGGACGAAATGGCGGGGGAGCCGGCCGGGGTGACACGGCTGACCGACGGCGACTGGACCGACACCCACTGCCAGTGGTCCCCCAGCGGCGACTGGATCGTCTTCTCGTCCTCACGCCACAAGCCGGACGGCGCACCGATGACGGACAACTTCCTCGACCCCGGCTACTTCGGCGTGTACCTGGTGAATCCGGCGAGCCCCACGGCCGTCGTCAGGGTGATGACGAGCGCGCTGCCGCCACCGGTGCCTGGCGACACGATGGTGCCCGGCCCCGGGCACGTCAACCACCCCATGTTCAGCCCGGACGGCAGGAGCATCGTCGTCACCGCCGACCTCGCCGCGGTCTCCGTCGAGCCGATCTCCAAGCCCATGTTCCTGCACTCCGTCAGGCCCTATGGCGACATCTTCTTGTTCGACATCTACCCCATCGACATCCACAAGAACGAGGACATCCAGAGGTTCCACCGCGTCACGCACAGCCGCTACGAGTACGCCACGCCGGTGTGGACCCAGTTCGCCATTGACGACCCCAATGCTCTGTGGAAGATGCTGGTGGCGCCAGACTCTGGAGCTGAGCCTGGGATGAACATCGCGTCGACGCCAATCGTTCAGCATTCCGACATTGTAATGTTTCCGGGGAAGAAAGGTTGTGTTTTTTCGTCTGAAAAATGCAAGCCGTGTAGGATTGGAGCTACCGAATGCAGGAATTTTTTTAAAAAAAATAATATTATTTTAAAAAATAATGGCAGATTTAGATGTTGTTTTTACAAAATTACAAAACTAGCATCCTGTCGGATATCCAGACGCCGCTAGGCATCCTATCGGCCAGTGGACGGCCGACAAGAGTGGACGGCCGACAAGCCATGAGGCAAGTGAAACTCAAAAGGGTACCTAGTCGGCAATTGAGCAGACGAAAGGTGCAGTCGGCTGACTCAGAGCCGATAGTCATACCGGCCTTACGGTGGCCGATTGGACTACTAGCCTACACGCACCATTTATTTTTACGTTTTATTTTTGGTGATCACAAATAAAATACCTAAACACCTTAAATATATTGTAAATTTTTATATAGATGCTAAGAATCAAACACAACTAATTTTGCTTGGATCTAGCATCATTGCTTTTATAGTTTTCAAATTAAAATTCTTCGTGTAATGTTATATTTGAGTTTTCGCGTAAGTTGTTTAGCTCTGAAATGGTATGCACAAATTCAAACAAAGTCCTCTAAATTCATGGCTCATAAAGTAATACTTTGTCATATAATTCTTCTACATACTTCCTCCGTCCCTTTAAGAGAGTCATCCAAGGATTCAAATGTTGTCCCACAAAAAACGTCACTCGGGCTATGTTACCGGTCTTAGAAATAGGTGTCGTACGAGCAGCTGTCTATGTCCACTGACCGAGCGGCCAGCGCCCAGCCTCCCTTGGCTCCTCCCATCCATCGGAAATCCTGCTGCTGCTGCTGCTTGTACTACTACTTTTTTACCAATTGTAATCATGGATAGTAGGGGTATGCAGGTTCTTCACCACCTTCCTTGGTACAAGAGCCTTGCTCCCAAACGACCATATTTATGGGAGAGAGGGAGTATATGTTAGGTAAAATCTAAAGTTTCTTAATAAAGCACATATTTAATATTAAGTTTTAATTTAAGAAAATATAAATTAGCTAGAGTTGGAATGCGGTAGAACAGCCAATTTAAACTAATTATATGCATACTTGCTCACCATACAATGTCAATCTTATGTATTTTGGAATCGTTTGGCCAGATAAATCACGCAGGAGTTCTCTCTGTGCATAGAAAAAATAGTGCGAGCTTGCAAAACACCTCCAATGACGATGTCATCGTCGGTCTTCGCTTCACGTTATCTATGCATGTGATGTTGGCCATGTTCTATTGCTATAATAAGGTCATATGCAAACATGAATATTGCACTTTTGACACCACTAATTAAATTAGAAGTAGTATTCAACGGCGAACTAAGCCAGCAACAGTCAACAATAGTGCATTTGCATATTGTGTGATGCTGTTATAAGAATGCTTTGCCAAAAAAAAAATGTAGCTGCATCCTGCTATTTGCCTCATTATTTTCTTTGTATTACGGATCTAATTTACTGCCATACTTCTTTTGCATAATTTACATAATGCTTACTGTATTAGGTTCCTTGCTTTGTCCTTCCATATATTCTAATATGGGCCATAAGAAATTTATGCAGCCTTACATTTAATTTACTATCATATTTGTCGAATACTTATTTTAACTTCTAACTAATGCTTTATGTATTAGGTTCGTGGCTTGGTCCTACGGACTTCCTTTCTCTGGTAATATGCTAACAAATTGAAGATTTTACTTCCTCTGCATTCATAGGCCCTTTTTTTCCGAAAACCTATTCATAGGTCCTTTGGCCGACGTATTGTTACTTGCCTCAGTGTTTTCTGGCCTGTTTGCTACTCGGTGCTTATTCTTCACTGGCGCCTTCTCATGCTACATATCTCTATATATGCTTGCTAGCCCGCGCAAGTGCGCGGGGTTACCTGCTAGTGATAATGGCCCTGTTCGCTTCTCTTATAATCCGTCTTTTTCAGCTTGTTTTTTCAGCCGAAACAGTATTTTTCTCTCACAACAAATTATCCGGAACAGTATTTCGGCTTGTTTTTTCAGCGAAGCGAACGGGACCAATATATGGAAGTGGAACTACCGTTTCTTTGATCATTTAACGTCGAAAACAAGAACATAAATAAATAACTTGCACAATAGGCCATTATTTTTCAACCTTGATCATTTTTTGGTTCACTTTCGTCTAGGTTCCGTCCTTCCTCGGTAATCTAATGACTACCGAGGAGTGTTGTAACCTTGATACTCTACTTCTACTTAATTAAACACAGACGTGTCATAAGGGCACGTTCACGAAAAAAAAAACCATGTAAAAGACACGCTCCAACGGTCAAAGCCAGATAAATTAATTCTTTTTGCTGGTTTTAAAGATGGTTTTGTATTTATAAAAATAATAAAATCTGGTTTGCTATATAAAATTCATTAGTAATTTATTTTAATGAAATCAGAAAAATATGAAATTGGTAACAAATTTTCTACCTCGTTGGACCATTTTGGGAAATGTTCAATCTCATATACAGAGCATCGGATAAGAGTAGTAAGGACATACTAAACCGATATGTTTGAACACCTTCAAATTGGGAATTAAGGGAGGTTCAACTCAACTTCGTGGCAGAAAGTTCACTTGGTGGAGTGAAACAGAACCCAACTTTTTTTTTTCTTTTGAGAAACAACAGAACCCAACTGTTACCGAGATTTTTTTTTTTTTTAGAGAGAGAAACAACTGTTACCGAGATTTTTTTTTTTAGAGAGAGAGAAACAACTACCATGTCTCACTGGTCCCTCCGCTGGAGCGTCGGCGGACCAGACGGAAGTTGCGACCGATGGCCGCCTATCAACCGGCCCACATTAACGGAGCCTACCTGAAAAAAGGATAGCGATCCAAGGCCCATGAGTTTCCTAAAAAAAAAGGAAGTTTCATCGTGGCCCAAGGTTTCGTCGCCCTTGGCGCCACAACTGAGAGGAGAAGAGCCCGCTGAGCCGTCGTCGCCGCCGCCGTGGATGCTAAGGCCCCGGCGGCCGGCCGAGGGATCAGGGGCCACCTCTCTTTCTTCGTGTCTTGTCTAATAATTGCACTAAGAGAGGCATTTCCATCATCTCTTGTCTTGTGTGTACTTCCTGATCGGCTTGTAAATACGGCGGCAGTTGTATTGTATCTATGACCTTGGTCTTGGATGGTAAATTATCCAAGAGACGGCAAATCGTGAATGAATGTGCTGACGATGACAAGGATCCAGATCCAGTCTCCTGGGTTTTTGTCTATATACGAACAATACAATATAAAAGACAGGGCAAGCCAACTAACAGCTCTGTCAGTTTAGCAGCCATGTCATTTCTCTCTTGGCTGCCTTGTGCTGCTCCTTCAATCGTACCACTACCATCCAGGCACCGGAGCAGAACCAAGACCCTGCAGAAGGTTCAGCATTTGGATACGAATACTGCTCGGATTCAGATGAGAAAACACAAGATTTCCTTCGCTGAAACTGAAAACATCACAGTCTGATGGCTCAGCTGCTGAACGATCGGCGTCGACGGACGATGTTCAGCTCTGCTCAGGCTCCGCAACGCAACAGACAGACAATTTGGATGCTCCGGGAGTTCCCTCCCACGTTCTTGGGACCTTGCAGTTTGGTTCCTGGCGGTTGGCAACTTGGCATGGCACCGCGCCGCCGCCGCCCGCCGCCGGCAAAGGGCAAATGACGACGCCCGATGATACGGCGCTGCCGCTGGTCACGGACGGACATCGCATCACACCACATGGATGGAGGATGGTCCATCTCGTCCGGAGCAACAAGACTAGTAGGTGAATTCCGATCAGACCAACAGCTCGTATCGCGGCAACCAGAGCAGCTCACCTGACCTGAATAAACATGGCGTTGCCATCTGCAGGTCCACATGTTTACATTACATTTTACATGCGGACCTGGCGATGATTCGCTGGCCTACCTGCAACTCCCCAGTTTCGCAGCGGCCATTCTTATTCCTGCAACGTCTCTCCTGTTCCTGCAACGCAAGGCGTGTACAGTACTGACACTGGGATTTGTTTATGCACCAAATTGGAGCGTGATGCATGAACCTTCCTTGAATTTGTTAATACTAATATACTGCTGGATGGAAATTGGATTCTCTGCTCCAGTTAGTAGTATCTCATCAGTTACCTCATTCATTCATGCATGCCATGACTCAACAAGCTAAAATTTTGCACCTGTCTTCGTCATCCCTTCCTCCTCCTCCGATTCCATGGGAGCACTCCCTCCCTCTTCTCTGCTTCTGCTTCACAATACTCCTCCAAGGTAACCGCTAAATTTCTCAGAGTCAAGCCACCCAGCATGCTTAAACAAATTTGTGTACCAGTAGAGCTTACACTTTCAGTTCCCTCGCTTTTTTCAAAAAAGAAAAGAGAGAATCGTTTGAGTTCGAATTGTTTCTTGTGTTACATTACATGGAGTTTATTTCTTCTTCTTCCCTGAGTCAATGATTTTGAACGTAATTCCCTGAGTCAATGATCAAAATTACCTCTTGCTCTTATGTTGATGCGTCTGAGCTCTTGTTGTTTGATCACAAATCGCAATGTTTTACTGATCAGTGAGAGCATTGTGATTACCAGGAGCAGACGCCGCGACGTTCACCATCACCAACAGCTGCGGCTACACGGTGTGGCCAGGCATCCTCTCAAACGCCGGCGCGCCGCCGCCGTCCACCACGGGCTTCGCGCTGGCCCCGGGGCAGTCCGCGGCCGTCACCGTGGCCGCGTCGTGGTCGGGCCGCATCTGGGCGCGCACGCTCTGCGCCACGTCCGCCGACTCGGGCGACTTCGCGTGCGCCACTGCCGACTGCGGCTCGGGGGCCGTCGAGTGCTCCGGCCGCGGCGCCGCGCCGCCGGCCACGCTGGCCGAGCTCACGCTCGCCGGCGGTACCGGCGGAGACGACTTCTACGACGTCAGCCTCGTGGACGGATTCAACGTGCCGATGCTCGTCGCGCCGCGGGCGTCGTCTGCGGCGGCCGCCAACGGGAGCAGCAGCTGCCGGCCCACGGGGTGCGCTGCTGACCTCAACGCGGCGTGCCCCGCGGAGCTGCGCGTCGCCGGCGCGGGGGGCGAGGCGGCGGTGGCGTGCAGGAGCGCGTGCGAGGCGTTCGCGGCGGCCGAGTACTGCTGCAGCGGCGCGTACGGGTCCCCGGCGACGTGCGCGCCGACGCCCTACTCCCGCTTCTTCAAGGCCGCGTGCCCCTCCGCCTACAGCTACGCGTACGATGACGCCACGTCCACCTTCACCTGCGCTTCCGCGGCCGCCGCCGGCGGCTACGACGTCGTCTTCTGCCCCAGCGCGTCCAGGTAACATCACGAGCAAATTTGAAATGATGTTTCAAATCAAAATGAAGTAAAAGTCAAACGACCGGTTCAAATCCGCAACATTTTGGTCAGTCTCTGATGGACACGCGATTTTACGTCCTTGTTCATCCGATCGATCCATTGGTTAGTTTCGACGCAACTAGTTTTGAGGTCAATCATTTTGCTTACGATCGCCCGTTTCAATCCAATTATTATACTAAAATAAAGAAAAAGGAGGTATCATCTTGACGTGATAGAGCCAGGGCCGTCGTGCGTTTACATGCCATCGCGCAGTCATGATCCTAATACAATCTTTTAATTTTGATTTGTCCTCATTGTTTGATCCTAGATTAGCCGTAACAATTGCGTCTGACAAAGTCTTCCATCCAATGCTAATTTCTTGTCTTGTCACTGGTTTATTAATACTATCTCCAATAAAATATATATATATCTTTTTTAGAGTCAGATTAATTTCAAAATTAACTAAATCTATGAAAAACAAAATCAACATTTGTTTATATATGTATTTTTTTATAAGTGATCAAACTTGTGTGTTTTTTTGGACGGTGGCATTACGTTTGATCCCTAGCCTAATTGTCGCGGTGCTTGCAACCTGGTCGATGCAGCCTAAAATCCGGCGGGAATCCCGAGGCGGCAGGCCTGCCGCCCTCAACGATGGAGTTCTCTGGAGACACAGCAGGCAGCTTGACGACGACGAGGGACGCGGTGGCGGCGCTCCTGCAGACGGTCGTCGTCTTCTCGGCGATGGTGGTGGTCATCTGATCCCAACGACCATCGCCTACTGGCAATGGTTACCTTGCCAATTGGCATGATTGGATGAGAGATTTTCTTTTCTTTTTGACATGCTTGGACGAGAGATTTCTTCTTTTTTTTCCTTTGAGATTTTCTTTTCCTTTTCCTTTTTTACTGTGGCAGGAGTTTGAACAGCTAGTAGTTCGATCGAAGAGTTGAGAGGTGCGGTGTACACATGCTGGTAGATTGAGCCATTTTTTTTTTGGTTTGCTAAATATTAATATTAAGCAAGTAGCGACCATTTTTGTTTGGAAAAAGATTCTTCATATTTCAACGTCATGTCCTTACATACAGATTATTCTACGTTAGTACCTACTCTACTCTGTTCTTAGTACCCTGTTCTAAATGGTAAGCCATTTTAATTTTGTTCGGATTCAAGACTATCTAATTTTGACCACATTTATCAAAATTCACATATACATATCAAACAAATAGAGATTGAAAATATATGTCATGATGAATTATATGCATGACGATCTAACTAATATATGGCTTCATGTTTTTAGTACCATTCTATAAATATGGGAAATGTTTAACTGAGAATAAAATTTAGAACTTAAATTAGAACAGAGGGAGTATAAAAAAATTGGTGCGCCATTCTATTGATAAGCTCAGTAAGACTGTCTCCAACAATCGTGACCTAAAATACAAAACGCATTCGTCCTTTGGGTAGCGCTACAGGTAAATGGTTCAATACCTATTTTTGTCTTCTCCAACAACAAGACCCAAAGGACAACCTTTTTTACAAATAGATCTTCAGGAGAGATGATACTTAGATTTAGGTTATGCCTCTTCTAGCACCCAAAATGGGTCTTCCATATAGATACTCTGTTGTAAGATATAGGTATCTATAGGTATTGTGTTGGAGGCCCATTTTGGATTTGGGTTCCGCAACGTGTCTCCTGTTAGAGACAGCCTAAGGCCATCTCAACGACAACACCCAAAATATAAGACTCATTCGTCCTTTGAGTAGCGTTACAGACAAAAGGTTCAATACCTATTCGACATCTTCTCCAACAACAAGATACAAAAGAGAATTCTTTCTACAAAAAAAATAGATTTTTCTAAGATATATTAAGAATATCAAATCATATTTGGGTTGTGTTTATAAAAAAATTATAACCCAAAATAGATCTCCAATCTGTGAGTTTTTCTCATTGAATGCGATGCTAAAAAATTAATAAGATCTTAGACTTAAAGGTATTGAAATTTTTTGAATGCGGATTTTTGTCTCTTACTACCCATCTTGGATTTAGATGCCTATATGATTTCTGGTTAGAGACAGTCTAAGACCGGTCTCAATTGGGTTTCCTGACGAAGAGAGAGGTGATAAAAATTTTATGAGATAAAAAGTGTTTTACGAGATTGAAACTTATCTAACTGTTTAGGAGTCTTGGAACCGGTGAGATGAAACTTCAACTAGCCTAACCAGACAGGGATAATTAACCTGACCACAGCCGGTTCCGTGGGATGGCAGGGTAAGGTAAATGCAAACCACTAATTAGGCTGAACTAAAGTTTGTATATAGGTACAAAGACAGACAAAAATCCCGTATCACGTTGCATGGGAAAAATGGGCGTCCCTCAGAACCATCACATTCCTAAACACCAGGCAGTGAGTGGAGCTCCCCAATATCACAGTCCTAACCGGGAGCTAGCTAGACTTCAGACACTCCGGAAGGCAGACCACGCCTACAGCTCGTCCTTGTCGTAGGACGGCTCCGATTCCTCCTTGGCCGACTCCTTCTCTTCCACCTCCGGCTGCTCCTCAGCCTCGTCTTCCTCCTCCACGGTCGCGTCGGGGCTCAGGTCCAGGCTCTTCTGCACCGACTTGTAGATGCTGGACGCGAACTCCTTAGGGTCAGGAAGGTTGAACCCGCTCTCCATCAGGGCCGTCTGGTACACCAGCCTGGCCGTGTGCTTCAGCTCTTCGCTCTGTTGTTTCCGTTACAATCAACGAACAAAGGAACCATCAATAAATTAGCATCGTCCCATACTCACATCCATGGTTTTGTATGTAGAAGTGCAGGTACAGTACCTCATTGTCCTGGGCGACCTTGTCGCGGAGCTCCTTGATGATGGGGTGCCTGGGGTTGATCTCGAGCACCCTCTTGCCGCGCATGTACGCCTGCTTGCTAGAGTCTGACAGGGTCTGCGCCTGCATGATCTTCTCCATGTTGGCGCTCCACCCATACTTGGAGGTGACGACGATGCAGGGGGTGTTGTGCAGCCGGTTGCTGATCTTCACCGAGTCCACGTTCTCGCTCTCCAGGGCCTTCTTCCACCAGTCGGTCAGCTCCTTGAACGACTCCTTGAGGTCCTTAAGCTTCGAGTCCTTGCCCAGCTTCAGGCCCTCCTTGGACACGTTCTGGAACTTCTTGTCCTCGTAGTCCATCAGGTATTGCATCAGGTACTCGTCCACAGGGTCAGTGAAGAAGATGACCTGCAAAACAAAACAAGTGCTGTGTTAGTTCACAAGCTGTATTCAGACCCCAGACTAAAGCCAAATGAAAAGGCAAAACAAAAAGGGACAAAAGCATTTGACGCAGTGCCGCGGTCTTGATTCCTGAATGGATAACTATTTTATTACACCAAGATCAGCGCCATACCTCATAGTTCTTCTTGGTTAGCCTCTCAAGGAATGGAGACTTCTCCAGCTGCTCTTTGCTGCTTCCCGTGATGTAGAAGATGTCTTTCTGCCCTGGCTTCATCCTTGAAATGTACTCATCAAGGGAGGCAAGTTTGCCATCCGACTTGGTACTGAGGCAAGCAAATATAAGATAAGTTTTCTTTTTCCCAAAACATACAATTCAAGGCAATGTTTGAAAAAGGATAAGAAAGGACAAACCTCTCAAATCTAAGAAGCTTCGCAAGGCGGTTCCTGTTAGTTGCATCTTCAATGATACCCAGCTTGATTGATTTGCCAAACTCATTCCAGAACTTGGCGTACTGGCCCTTCTTCTCCTCCACCTCACTTTTCTCTTCATCTGATTACAGAAGATTTTTTTTAGTACTGTAACGATGAGTATATGACTTGCATTCATTGCGGAAAACCCCATTACCTGTCTTATCCTTGTTGCTGTACTCATCAGGGTCTTCTTCAGCAAGTTTCCTAATCATATCAAGAGCTTTGCGGATCAGCTTCTTCTTGATGGTCTTGAGACTGCTATGTTGTTGAAGCATTTCTCGTGACACATTCAGGGGCAGTGTATCTGAGTCAACAATACCCTAAAGACAACATTACTGTAAGATTAATGTAAGATTGAATTGAATAGTATATGTGTTTCGAAATAGTAATCCAGTACCCTCAAAAAGCTGAGATACTTCGGAAGAAGGTCATCGAATTCATCAGAGATGAAAACTCTTCTAACATACAGCTTGAGGTTTGACTTGTTACTGTTGTAGTAACTCTCATAGAGATCATGTGGAGCCTTCGGAGGAATGAAGAGCAAAGCTTTGAACTCAACATCTCCTTCAGCAGTGAAGTGGCTCCAACCCATAGGCTTGTCATCACCGAAGTCCTGAAAAAGAATTGTTAAGTTACACAAATGTTTCGTCGACAAGACCCACAAACAAAGCTTTCTTCGGGGGAAAAAAAATCATAGAGTACTACTAATTCATCGCTACAGTATTTACCTTCGCTAGTGAGTGGTAAAACTTTGAGTACTCTTCATCAGTAACCTCCTTTGGGCTGCGAAGCCATACAGCCTTCACATCATTCAGAAGTTCCCATTCAGAAGTAATCTCCTTTATTGTCTTTGTCTTGGGCTTTTTCTCTTTCTCTTCATCTTCTTCTGTCTCTTCCTCTGTAGTTTCTGGGGCTGTTAAGAAACACATGATGCATTAGCACCAACACACATAACTACCATCTCAGGAGAATAAACAACTTCACTAAATACTTACTTGAATCCTCTTCATCACTTGTCTCACCCTCATCAGCTGGCACTTCAACATCAACCTCCTTGGTTGACCACAGATAGATAGGGAAGTTGATGAACTCAGAGTACTTCTTCACCAAATCCTGCATAAAAGAGAATTCAAATTAAACACTTGTAACCACAGATGCACAAACAGATATACTTGTCTTATAAGGTCTATAAGGGATGTGTTTCATTATAATCTGTCCAACCCTAGTGGACAGGAAAAATAGGTACTCCTATATGTTTCGCTCTCACACAGAACACGAAAATTATCTCGTGATTAATGAATGCACTCAATGAAAATGGAAAATTATTGCCAGAGACAGTTGCTAAGCAATCTGCCATTGCTGTAAAACCAAAACATATTGACCACTTGACTTCTGAAAAGATCCGATTCAAATTCCTAGTTAGCACTGTTGGGGTCACGTCCAAGTCTAATAAAATATGTTGATTTCAGATAACACTGTTGGACTTCAGGTTGAAATACAGATACATGCTAAAAACTACCTCGGTACCCATTGTATATTTTGTGGCAGAAGCCCATTAACCCAAATAAAAGACAAGTGAATGTGTTGATACCTTTAGCTTATCCTCTTCCAAGTACTCCTTGGCCTCATCTCGCAGATGTAATCTTATCTCAGTTCCACGGCCAAGGGGCTCATTCCATGTATCCTCAGAGATAGCAAATGATCCATCAGCTTTTGATTCCCACACGTATCTAAAAGAGTACAACACCACAATAACATTAGGCAACTACATAGGTAAATCAAGACATGAATAAAAAATCAGACAGAAATATCTTACTGTTTATCATCATTGTGCTTGCTGACCACTTCCACATAGTCAGCAACCAAGTACACAGAGTAGAAACCAACACCAAACTGTCCAATAAGATTGAGGTCACCTCCAGACTGCATCTTTTCCATAAAAGCTGCAAAAGTTGCAAACAATTCAAATTATTTGAGGGCATAATCCAATTATATTTAACAAATATTGGATTGCAGTAATCAGGCGGAAAGATGAAAGAACAGTACCTGAAGTTCCAGACTTA